GGGGGGGGGGGCGGGTGGGAGGCGTTTTTTAATAAAATACGGGGGCGCCTGCGTGTGTATACGCGGTACCTGGTGCTTCGGCTTCGGAGATGAACAACATCGACGCCACGAACTTCAACCTTATGTCGGTGGCGATCGAGTATATCTGACCTGCAATTTGTTAGGGAAATTCCCCACTAAATTACTCCGTAAAATCCAGCGCAATCGCACACTCTAATCGCTAATCAACATCCGTCCTTGTTCCGCTCTCGTTCAGTCGCGTCACGCCATGGATTACGTAATTTTAACCGTGAGAAAGAGAGAAAAAAAAGAAAAATAATGTACACATCATAATGGCGGCTTGAACGAAAGATTTTTCGGTCGATTGACGTTCGCCCTGATGGGCACGCAGACGTCAACTCACGAACAATAATTTTGAGAATGAAGATTCTCACCTTGCCAGTACCAGCTACCTGGTGCGCCTATGAAGACTCTTTCGCCATCCTGAAACAAACAGAAAAGTAATCGTAAGTCTCTTTTCTTTTCTTCTCAACATGAGAGAATATTGCTAACACACTTGAATTTTTTGCGCTACTTCAACGTCTTCCCGATGGCGATTTTTTGGAAACAAAATTGGATTCGGCGGATGAAAAACTTTGGCAGAACGTGATTCTTTGACATGCTGCTTTCGTGGGATCAAAATTATAATTTTTTTTTCGATTCTCCAAAATGTTCCGGTTTTGTGGTCATTTATAAAACTAAACCCTAATGTATTCCTTGCAATATGATTACTCGTTTTCGCGTCGATTGTTTTCATGTATTTTTTTTCTTCTTTTCTTTTTGAAGATAAAATACCCCTCGCACAAAGCAAAAGGAACGACCAACGATCTCGTATGATTTTCAGTGCCTCGGGCGACTCGCAACCAGGAAACGGACGCACCCACGAAAGTCTAATTTTTTCTCTTTTTAATTTATAAGATAATACCGCTGATAGGGGAGGGCTCGTGCGCGCGTTCGAGATGCGATAAATCATGTGGCTCGCTACATATATACGTATGTGCAAGCCGCACGTTCGCCGCACGCGTTTGCACGTAGCCGCGCATGTTAAATGTACGACCAATCATGGTGGTCTTCGCGATAAAGGCTTTCTTTTATAATCTTTTATAATCTGTTTGTTATGATTTTTCACCGGGATTGAACATTACAGTAGTAATGGGCGATTCAAAGGAGTGAGAAACTAGGAATTGCAAAAACAGAGATAACATCCGCACAGCAATAATGATCGACAGAAAAATCAATAGAGATTTAAATTCAGACTCGACATACAATAGGATTCGGCATACAGTGAGTCTTTGAATACAAGTGAAAAGAAGACGTGGGCAAATTCAAGACAGGTCTCGCGGAATATTCGGGAGATGTTTATTGTCATCTTTCGGCTGTGTTGACATCTCTCGACGCCAGCCGACGACGGTCGATGACGTAGCCTTTTTGCCCATTGTTTTGACATTTTCGCGCGTCTCGTACGTCTCTATGCTCAAGTCATTACGTTCCGAGTCGGCGAGCCGCGCACACGAAGCACGTGTATCGGCGCGTTAATCCAGAGACATTATCGTCATTATCGATCATTAAAACATTTAATCGTACTCTCGTCGGCATCGCGTTTATATTAATACGTCTATCTCGGATGAAATCTGCGCGAGTGTCAGTGTCACGACGGAGCAGAGCCGCGAGCCAGGATGCTGGACGCCGGAAGCCAGGATGTCGGGCGCAGCACACCGGGACGTGGACAACGGTGCATCATATATTTCAAGGTATGCGAGATCATTTATTATACGAAATGATTTTCTTAACGGCCGTTTAACGAACTTACCGGGAACAAAGAAATATCCTAGTATTTTCGTAGCACGCTACTTGAGTGAAGTAACTTACTCAGTACAGAAAACTGAAGTCAGTAAACTGAAGTAGTTTACTGACAAGTAAACATCTAACCCAAAAGGTAGACTCCGATTTTTTTCTAATTTGGCACAAATATAGAAGTACAATAAATATTTAAACCATATTTTTTGTACTTCTACATTTGTACCAAATTAGAAAGAAATTGGAATGTAACTTTTAGGTTTACTTGTGAACTTATATTAATAACCAAAAAATAAATCTTTGCCTATGGATCCTAAAATATTTTATTCTAAGATATTTGCTGACTTATGACTACTCTTAATATTTCGAGATTCTTCATCGACCTTTCAAGTTCGACAAACCTGCAGAGAATCGCGATTTTGACTCGGATTCTCTTTCTCACTTACGAAGTGACACTCATTAACGTGATACGATCTCCGTATGTGCAAAACGAGAAAAAGCTCGCTCTACGGGAATAGCCAGTCGACAAATGTACGATAGAAGTACGCGAGAACTTGCGGTGGAGAGCACTGTAGAGTCGCGGAAACTGGAAATTTGATTTCACGAAGGATGCGTGCTCTCCGCGATTATACAACAACCCGTAAATTAAAAAGTGAATCGAGTTATGACAATGAAATGACGCAGTGAATGTTAAATACAGCACCGGGGGACAATCGCGCGTGCATATCGTGTACACAGTAGCATACATTATTTATGATACGTAATAGAAGTAACCGCGCTTTTGTCGGGCGACATTTGTCTGGCGCGTTAAACGCACGCAGGACGCGGCACTACAACCGCACAGCCCGGCGGATTTCTTTGTGATCGCGCAAAAATTATTAATCGTCACAAGCGGCGTGTACCCGATGGCCGACAGTGCCGACAATGCGAGTACGCGCGTCGTAACTCGCAGTCAACTTGAACGCTCTCTCCAAAAAGGTACAGAGCCGCTGGTACACACGAGGAACAAGCGCGGTTCCCCCCGCGGGAGCGGAGGCGTGGAAAAATCGATGTACTGTTTCAACGTGTCTCCGTGAAAGGCCAGACATAACGAATGAGCTACTTTGTGGAACGGAAATGTGACACAGTGCGTGAGGCAGGAGAGTCCCATTTGCGTTGCCACTGAATGAATATCGCATTTATTTTCGTTTGTTTTCCGGAACGGGATACCTCTCCCGGGAGAGAATTATTAAGCGCTCTCCTCGCGATAGAGAAACCGTCTCGAGAGGTTCACACAAGGCGCATACACGCGCATACATACACACCGTCCGCGATGTAAGGCCTCGTTGAATCGGTACGTGAGAACTCGAGTGGCTCTCGAAATTGTCGACATACTCAACACTGTTGACCCTTTGCGCCTGTCATTCCCATGCGGTGTATCGAAAGTTGCTGTACAGCCAGCGTGTGTGCATGAGAATAACTCATATTTGACTGTCCATCAAATTGGCAGCGCAATCATAAAAATCCCTTTACTGTCGAATTTATGCAATTATTTGCCACCAACACTTCATTTAATTATTAATTCACATGAAAATGATTGTTAAGTTGAATATATTAGTTTTAAATAGACACTAACTCTTTTTCTGCGTATTCAGATTTGAATTTAGAATTAAATGCAAATTTCCCAGTTGAATTACAATTACAAGTGACACCACGAGTGTATCGTGTGATTCAACTAGACAATTCAGATCTAACTTCAGATTCCGATCTGGTTAGGTTATCTCACAAGCTTCAAGTAACGACTAATAATTTACCGTAGTCAGTATAGACCGTAGTAACTGAATATCTTAATGCAAGTTTCGTTCAATACAAAGTGGATAATTTTAAAAATTTTGCATCACGAATCGTATGAATCGTAAGAAAGCCGCGGAACGATCGAAGGACGCGTTATGTTCCCGCGGTAAAAATTAACCGGAGTCCTCGGCGTCGAGGTCGCGACCCTGCGAACCATCTCATTCGCCCGTGCACCGCCAATAAGTTTACGTATCGTAACGGTGTAACTCCCACGCACCTACCTAACGGCGATGCCGAAGAGTAACAAAGATTACAGTCTTTCGCATACATATTAATCGACGGGTCTACATGAATGATCATAAGAGAGCCTGAATGCGCGGGCACATTCCACGATAAGATCATGCAATATGGATGACGACAGATAGAACGGGAAACGTTCGCTACTTTTGCGCGATTATACTTTCAGATCGAGTCGCGCTTGCTCGCCTTGTCAAAACGAAGTCATTGCCTATTGAACGCCTCTTTTATATTAAGATTATGTTGGTATGAACGAAATTTATTTCAATCATATTTTCACCCGAGATTATATTATTTCAATGTGCTTAACACTCACAATTACACACTTGTGAAGAGAGTGAGAATTCAAATTGTTGTGAAGCGGAAAATCGATTCTATAGTAATTAATTATACATGTAATTGAGTAGTTCTAAAGACAATGAAACAAGGAAATGATTTTGAAATTTACGCAAAAGCAGACTCTACTAATTTACTTGACAAGGTATCGTTCAAATGTCGCCGGGATCAAAGTTAACCGCGTGACAATGTCGTTACACTCTCTTGAGATGCACCCACGCGCGGATGTGCTCACCCACGCGAAGGATCCGCCGTTGCAGGGAAGTAAGATGCAATTTCTATGGATTAAGTGGGAAAAGGGAAAGAGGCAGAAAGAAAGAGGGAGAGAAAGAGAAGAGCAGACGCGTTAATGCGAGTACGCCGAGAAAGAAGGAGAACGCAGCGCGGATGAAAGCGTGTAACACGAGATTCCATTTTTATGCGGCCGCGGCACACTCACCCTACGCGACACGCGATATCTCGTAATTGCGATGAATAATGTTACCGGGGATTATTAGATTATGGTCGCGGTTGTTTTATATTGTTGACCTGGCGTAAAATTGCGCGATTATTTTCCGTAACTCTAGACACACGCGGCGCGGACGCGATTACGGGGGAAGGAACGAGCGAATGTGAATTTTCCGAGCGCATAATGCGACATAATTCTCGGCAAGAATTTTTTCCGCAGCTCGACTCGTTATATCATCCGGAAGGCGAAAACCGGCCGATGAAGCCGGCGAAGAAGCTGACGGTGGAAGAGCGAGCCAGCGTCGCTCGGTGGCGAGGGTGGCGCGCCGCGAGCGACGACAAGGTAAAAGCGCGTCTAGTTTCGTTTTACTCTGCTTATCATAAGAAACGGCAGCCGTTTATAAAACAATGTAACCGCCGAGAAGGCAAGAGAGAGGTAGAGAGCAAGAGAGAAAGAGAGAGAGAGAGAGAGGACCACCGGCGCGTAGGTGGCCGGTCTCCTTGCGGAGTCGCACAGCGCTGAACACGAAACACGGTGACAGAACGAAATGTCCGAGCCTTAAATGGCCACCTGAAACTCTCCCGTTGTTCAGCCCGTGGTCTCTCCTCTCCTCTCCTCTCCTCTCGTCATTTCCTCCTTCGGCGAGACATCGCGCGTATGTGCACATTTAAAACGCGCGTGCACGATGACGATGACGAGTCCCTCCCTTCGTCGGTGATGTCGAGTTTTCCTCGTATCGTTTTCCGGCGACGTGATAACGGCTCTTTGACTTCGCTTGAACGAGATACTGGTG